ACATGCTTGGATTGATCGAGTTCAAACTTCACACACACAAGGTACATCATGTCACAAATATGTATGTGCATTTGTTTCATGATCTCATTAACGATAGCCAAATGGCGGTCGCTTTAAGGCCGAAAATGCATTGAAATCGCACATTTTCACCATTCCGGACCCGGATCTCAGTTATGCATGGACGGATTTCATTCAAATTTGGTACATACATTAAACATAATAGGACCTTGATGCACGTCATTTTTTTTTCGGATCAAGTTCGAAATAGCCGACTGGCGGCCATTTTGTTTTAAAGAATTCAGTTCTGGATCCGTATCCGAGACATGTCTGGATTGATCAAGTTCAAACTTCACACACACAAGGTACATCATGTCACAAATATGTATGTGCATTTGTTTCATGATCTCATTAACGATAGCCAAATGGGGGCCGCTTTAAGGCCGAAAATGCATTGAAATCGCACATTTTCACCATTCCGGACCCGTATCTCAGTTATGCATGGATGGATTTTGTTCAAATTTGGTACATACATTAAACATAATAGGACCTTGATGCACGTCTTTTTTTTTTTTCGGATCAAATTCGAAATGGCCGACTGGCGGCCATTTTGTTAAAGAATTCAGTTCTGGATTGATCAAGTTCAAACTTCACACACACATGGTACATCATGTCACAAATAGATATGTGCATTTGTTTCATGATCTGCTTAACAATAGCGGAATGATGGCCATTTTAAGGCCGAAAATGCATCAAAATCACATATTTTCACAATTCCAGAACCGGATCTCAGTCATGCATGGATGGATTTTGTTCAGATTTAGCACAATGTGTTGTACATATGCAGGTGCATTTCGGTCATGATCTGCTTTGAATGTATATGTCACTCAAATATGAACGGAACGGGGACGTGTCATTGACAATGACTTGTTGGATATTATTTGCATTTGAATCAAATATGTATGTGGTGTCATGGGTACATTTAGATTCCAATTTAAACCTGTACATGTCTTGTGGTGTCATAAATTCAAATCAAACATGTACATGTCTTGTGGTGTCATAGATTCAAATCAAACCTGTACATGTCTTGTGGTGTCATAAATTCAAATCAAACCTGTGCATGTCTTGTGGTGTCATAGATTCAAATCAAACATGTGCATGTCTTGTGGTGTCATAGATTCAAATCAAACATGTACAAGTCTTGTAGTGTCATAGATTCAAATCAAACATGTACATGTCTTGTGGTGTCAGATTCAAATGAAACGTGTACAAGTCTTGTGGTGTCATAGATTCAAATCAAACACGTACATGTCTTGTGGTGTGGTGTCATAGATTCAAATCAAACCTGTGTGTGTCTTGTGGTGTCATAGATTCAAATCAAACATGTACAAGTCTTGTTGTGTCATAGATTCAAATCAAACATGTGCATGTCTTGTGGTGTCATAGATTCAAATCAAACATGTACAAGTCTTGTAGTGTCATAGATTCAAATCAAACATGTGCATGTCTTGTGGTGTCATAGATTCAAATCAAACATGTGCATGTCTTGTGGTGTCATAGATTCCAATCAAACATGTACAAGTCTTGTAGTGTGGTGTCATAGATTCAAATCAAACCTGTACATGTCTTGTGGTGTCATAGATTCCAATCAAACACGTACATGTCTTGTGGTGTCATAGATTCAAATCAAACATGTACAAGTCTTGTGATATAGATTCAAATCAAACATGTACACGTCTTACTGTGTCATGGATTCAAATCAAACCTGTGCATGTCTTGTGGTGTCATAGATTCAAATCAAACATGTACAAGTCTTGTGGTGTCATAGATTCAAATCAAACACGTACATGTCTTGTGGTGTCATAGATTCAAATCAAACACGTACATGTCTTGTGGTGTCATAGATTCAAATCAAACATGTACAAGTCTTGTGGTGTCATAGATTCAAATCAAATATGTACATGTCTTGTGATATAAATTCAAATCAAACATGTACACGTCTTACTGTGTCATGGATTCAAATCAAACCTGTGCATGTCTTGTGGTGTCATAGATTCAAATCAAACATGTACAAGTCTTGTGGTGTCATAGATTCAAATCAAACATGTACAAGTCTTGTAGTGTCATAAATTCAAATCAAACATGTGCATGTCTTGTGGTGTCATAGATTCAAATCAAACATGTGCATGTCTTGTGGTGTCATAGATTCAAATCAAACATGTACAAGTCTTGTAGTGTGGTGTCATAGATTCAAATCAAACCTGTACATGTCTTGTGGTGTCATAGATTCCAATCATATAGATATAGATTCAAATCAAACATGTACACGTCTTACTGTGTCATGGATTCAAATCAAACCTGTGCATGTCTTGTGGTGTCATAGATTCAAATCAAACATGTACAAGTCTTGTGGTGTCATAGATTCAAATCAAACACGTACATGTCTTGTGGTGTCATAGATTCAAATCAAACACGTACATGTCTTGTGGTGTCATAGATTCAAATCAAACATGTACAAGTCTTGTGGTGTCATAGATTCAAATCAAATATGTACATGTCTTGTGATATAAATTCAAATCAAACATGTACACGTCTTACTGTGTCATGGATTCAAATCAAACCTGTGCATGTCTTGTGGTGTCATAGATTCAAATCAAACATGTACAAGTCTTGTGGTGTCATAGATTCAAATGAAACATGTACATGTCTTGTTGCGATATAGATTCAAATCAAACATGTACATGTCTTGTGGTGTCATGGATTCAAATCAAACCTTGCATGTCTTGTGGTGTCATAGATTCAAATCAAACATGTACATGTCTTGTGGTGTCATAGATTCAAATCAAATATGTACATGTCTTGTGGTGTCATGGATTCAAATCAAACCTGTGCATGTCTTGTGGTGTCATAGATTCAAATCAAACATGTACAAGTCTTGTGGTGGCATAGATTCAAATGAAACATGTACATGTCTTGTTACGATATAGATTCAAATCAAACATGTACATGTCTTGTGGTGTCATGGATTCAAATCAAACCTGTGCATGTCTTGTGGTGTCATAGATTCAAATCAAACATGTACATGTCTTGTGGTGTCATAGATTCAAATCAAATATGTACATGTCTTGTTGCGATATAGATTCAATTCAAACATGTACACGTCTTACTGTGTCATGGATTCAAATCAAACCTGTGCTTGTCTTGTGGTGTCATGGATTCAAATCAAACCTGTGCATGTCTTGTGGTGTCATAGATTCAAATCAAACATGTACACGTTTTACTGTGTCATGGATTCAAATCAAACCTGTGCATGTCTTGTGGTGTCATAGATTCAAATCAAACATGTACATGTCTTGTGGTGTCATAGATTCAAATCAAACATGTACATGTCTGTTGGTGTCATAGATTCAAATCAAATATGTACATGTCTTGTTGCGATATAGATTCAAATCAAACATGTACATGTCTTACTGTGTCATGGATTCAAATCAAACATGTACATGTCTTGTGGTGTCAGATTCAAGTCAAACATGTACACGTCTTGTGTCAAAGATTTAAATGAAACATGTACATGTCTTGTTGCGATATAGATTCAGATCAAACATGTACATGTCTTGTTGTATCATAAAGATATTTGACAGCCTGTTTGACTGATTATACACTAACTACAAACTTTTAAATTTATTTTGTACTTTTAAATCTGAATGACAACTGCTTGAATTTTGGGGGAGAAATAATTGAAAGAATGCTATAGAATAAGGGCCTCTGAATCACAAAAATAGCTTGACGTGTGATTTGTATCTTTGCAGGCATCAAGTGACTCAGACTCTGATCACAGAGGTGCACCCCCTTCAAAAAAGAAAAGTACTGACACACCAAGGAAAGAAAAGGTATACATAGACTTGGATTTTTTAAACCAAAACATGACTACAATAACGAAAAACATAATTCTTTGGTTGTGTGTAACAAAATGGAAGAAAAAGTGTAGTTGAAACCCCACTATGTTAATTCAGTTCAACAGCACTATTGCTTTATTGACTTGTATCATTTTCGTCAAATTAAAAAAAAAAAACTATTTTGTGTATTTTCATTTTAGACTGGATGGGACACCTCAGAAAGTGACCTGAGTGAAAGTGAATTGGAGAAAAGAAGGCGACAACTACTGAAACAGTTAGAAGATGGTTAAACAGACTTTGGTTTTTTAACACATGCTGCCCCAGTACTTGACATGTAGCCTTTCTGTTTTATTTGACACTGTAGACAAACCACTGAAAATGCTGAAAATGTTTGACCTGTGTAATAGTCATAAAATGATCGCTAACACATTCATTTTTGTTTTATATTGTTTTATAATAAACAAAACTTTGGATTTGTGAGTGTCAGAGTACCCTGACTAGTTTTTGCTTACTGCCTCTTCACGTATGATTAAAAAACTATTTGTACTATTCAATGAATGACTAAATACCTATTTTATATCAGAAAAGATTATCTCCTTTTATTGAGACCCTCATCATTCTTTTAAAAATATAGGGATACTTGATAACACAAGAAACATTAAAATGTCTTCTCAATGAATATTTTTAACAGCAAATTAAGTCTCCATCCTTGTATGTTACAAATTTAATTGTGTGTTTGATCATAAATAAGTACAATTCATTGTAACTTAAAGGATGAATTTTAAATTGATTTGTCATTGAATTAAAAACTGACTGAAAAACTTAACTGAAAAAAGTTATGTTATTATTTCTGAGATGATTCCTGTACTTGTGTAAGATCTTCCATTACGTCATATCACCAGACTGAACATATGTCACAATAGCGTAGATCTTTTTCAGTTGCTAAAATATGGAGCTGAAAACACACAAACAGATTCAAAATGCACACAACACAAACAATTATGTAATCCACTAGTATCCATGAACGAGTGTGACGTCTGTATCTGTCCAAGATGATGTCACACAAGTGAAGAATGCCTAGCCTACTAGGAGACAGAGATAGTAAAGCATTTAGGAAAGTGTTAAAACCCACAACAACCATAGCAGGTACAGCCTCTAACAACTTGATCTATTCCAAGTTAATATGGACGTTGTCAAACGTTAAAATACGACAGTTCATACTGTCGGCAGACAATTGGAAATCCTTTGCATACAGAAATGCACCATATTATGCAATATATATATATTGATTGTTTTACAAATGCATGTAATTTTGTGTTGTATATCCCACATTTTCTGCATTTGTCAAAACATTGGCACTCCACAGGGAAGATTATAATCCATCATATGTATTGCCATGGTTTACATGCCTTTTATACCTCTGTCAGTTCATAGTGTGTGCTGGATAGAAAGTTTTGGGGAAACTCGCATTCTCATGCTGGAACTAGCCACAATTCTGATAAATCATGTTTGCTCACTGCCATGACCACAAAGTATCACCCAATGTTGTATCTGCTGTTCTCACCACTATGTTTATCAAAGTTTGGTGTGAGTTACCACTAATGCATTGTGTCATCACACTTAAGGTAGCAGGATAGTTTTTTTGCATGAAAAATGTAAACACCTATAATCGGAATAAATTTTACAAGAAACCATACAATCTATATATGTTTGGAAAGCTCTTGACTTGTATTTTCCTATTATTAATATTTTGTGAACATTGTGTTTGTTTTAGCGTCACGTGATTCTGAAAATCAGCGGGGCTGATAATTTAACTAGCGTGAATAAAATTTTAATTGTCATCTCTACAGTCATTCATGCGATCAAAAACTTTACACTGTTTTGAAGTAAAGGATATGAAGTTTAAATCCGTATTTCTATTTTTTGCATTAAGTTTTTTTTTTCTTTCCGAAAATCACAAATTTCCAGCACGTTTTTTGGTGTTAAAGTTAGAGTATACCGTTGGTTTGCGCGAGGTTTGTGAAAA